TAGAAAAAAAAATATTATAATATTAGATGTGATAGCTGAGCCTATCTTTTATAAACCCAAATCCGCCAATATTTCTTAAGGTATAATTGCCCTATATTGTTCCAATGCAGATAAATATGCTGGGATTCAACAATCCCCAATTGACCATGTTGTTATCCGATCATTTAATATTCATCTCTTGGAATCAAGTGAGTTGATACTCCTTTTTGTCTGGTGGATTATATATGGAACGAAACATTCACATCACAAGAAATTTGCAGTTTAGGGTTCATCTTCTGCTCCTTCTAGAATACAACGCTCATAAATATCAATAGTTAGCTCTTTTTTGATGAGAGATTTTTTGAGACCCTTTGCCTTCTATACATTTTTATACTCATCTTCAGTTTCCAATGCATAAGACTTTGATTAGTTTTCAGCATATCTTAACGCCTGAGTTTCTGCAAATTCATCTTTTCACTTACTGATTACTTTCTTATTTTTTAGCTCCCGTGTTCCATCAGGAAGATCTATCTATTGTCCTGGTGGAAGTTTTTCTAGAAGTGGATGGTCTTCAGGATAGTCACTAAAATCATAGAGCTCTGCATCTTCAACCATATCAGCATAGACGTCTTCTGTCTCAATTTCAATAATTAGTGAGTCCGTATCAGTATAGCATAATTTGGTTCGATCCCCATACTTGCGCTTGATATGGTTATACCAGAAATCATATATGTAATACTTACTAAGATCTAAAATTGAAGCCCTGACATAGATTGGCTTATTTAGTACAACATTCGTCTGCTTTCGATGTACTGCTATAAGATTGCTTCCATAAAATATTTTACGACCAACTAGTACCGGATCTGCCAACATTTTGCGCAGTCAATATTCTTCTCCTATTAGTCATACTAAATCAACCCGTGTGCGACACTGGACATCCTCCATAGTTTTTCCGAATACAGCATTGTTCATTAATTTCCATAAATCTCTTTCGAAGGCATTTTTTGCGTCCTGACGTCATTTGTAATTGGCTGAAATGTAAGGTTCTAGCCATGGAGCCTGATCGAATTCTAATACTCAATAAACATGCTTGAGCTCCATTTCTAGTTTGAAACATTGCTGGAGATTTTGGTAGTGGATAATATATTGGTCTTTAGTCTCTAATGTTACTACCAATTTTTCTGTCTCAGCGAATTTTCCACCACTCAGTTTATCAATTAGGTCATTATTTTGATATAAACTAAGCTCATTTCGCTTAACTATTTGACGTTCAGAGCAGAGTGGGTAGTCACTATGTGCTGGATGAAGATTTTCTGGATATCTTAATTTTACTTCTCAAGCACTGCCTTGTTTTGCAGTTGGTGATATAGATCGTATATCTGGCAGTTTGTCTAGGTCAAGCCACCAGAATCCTCCTGTCGGTAAATATTGTGATATAGCCCATTCGTATAAATTATTCGCATCTAAATATAGGAGCCATTTATTTGTCTTATGTTTATTATAGCCTTTCATTCTAAGAAAATTTGCTTTTGCTAAACGTTGTGGGACCATAGAATTTTCACTTCACATTCAGCATTAGACGAATTCGTGCATATCTTCTTGACCTTTATGGAATAATTCGAGCTTGACCTTAGTCATCTTTTTTGCCATATCAAATGCGAATGATGGTAATGTAATATAGTTCAAAGGATCTAATCTGAATACTTCCTTTATTGTCATTCGAAATCGCTGAATTGAGTCCGCTAATATTAAAATATCAGTTCTGAGATATAGATCTTGATAATCTCCAAATGTTTTACACTCTGCCTTCTCTCACACTGTCTGCGCATGATCATATTGCTTCTGACTAATAGTGTAAATCTTCTCATGTTTACAATCGTCGACCTCCTTTAAATTCGCTTTCTTACATTCTCCATTGCACTTTTTACCCTTTATTTCATGCTTACATTTTTTACAGCCATTTTTACAATAATTTAGTCCGCCTAGCACTGTATTAAATTCTTTTCTTGATGGAAGCTCCACCCTAGAGAAGCGCTCAGGATCATTTAATTCATATAGATACTCACTTTTTTGTGTGAGTAGTGGGAGTAAATTCTGAGGTATGCTCTGTGTCATTATCAGAAAACATTTAGCCAATTGCTCTGAAGTCTTTTCTTGACCATGCAAATTATTTGCTACTTTTTCTAATGAGGGAATTGGAATTGGATGGAATCTATGAATCTTATTTGACCAATTGTTATTGACTTATAGTTCTCCATATTGTCCGTAATTATTTCGATTTTGTCGTCACTAACTAGCCCCAATTCCCGTATTTCATGATGAAAGTCATAATGTTTTCTGCCAGGATATATTAATGGGATCTTAATTTTATCTGGCTTTATTCAAAATTTAAGATTACAGCCACGATGTGCTGGACCACGATACTTTCTGGTAAAATAGTCATGATCTCTAATCCTGTTGCCATTTATATCAGCTCAAAGACTCATTTTACATAAACAGTATTTGATTGCTTTTTTGAACGTATTTTTCTCTTCTATAGACAATCCTTCTGTATGATATATAGCCTCCGATAGGTTTCTTCTGTAGCTTCACACTTAATTTTAACACAACCATGATGAGCATCGCCTATGAATTTTCTGGTTGAGTCGAAATATTTCACTTTATTATATCTGATCTCTTGTAGCTTTCCTTCACATATGTAGCATCTTATGGCAGACTTATGTATTCGCCAATCTCGCTCTGTCATTTTTATTTTTTCCAGATTACGTAACTTCGGCTTAATAATTTCCTCCAAGTCTTGTTGCATACTTTCCCATGATTCTGCAATTAAGTTTGGAGTTCGTCTTGCAATTTCTTTTGCTAGCTTCCCATCCGTTTGCATTAGAATATAACCATAACTATTAGGCTTCTGCTTTTACAGTTTAATGGTCTTTTCTTTGATATCATTTTTCTCTACTGGATCACTATCCGCTTCTAGATCCTTAACGAAATAAAATGGTATATTTTCCATTATCTTATAATTTTTGAATTTCATATCCAATCCTTTATCAGGGAGGACTTCTCGTTGACCTGTATTAGGATTATTTCGTCTATGACAATTAAGCTCTATATATTTTTGGAGTGTATCCATTCTTGAGAATGGAGCAATCATGCAGTGACAGCAGAAATATTTTCATTCATGGTATTTATTCCAATTGCGCATGATCCTATTCCATCCATTTTCATCATTAATGAGACAGTAATGTGTATTTAACCCTTCTGGTATATCATTAATATTACAACGATCTTTGAGGTTTTCTTCTCCTTCAGTAAATAATATTAAATCCACCAAATGCTCTCTTTGATAATTATATTCTGATATGCGGAGTGAATCTAACATCCTAGTTTTCTGCTTTTTGTCATCTAGTTCTGGAGTGGGGTAAAATACATTTACTGCATATGATGGATTTTTCTCTTCAAATGTGTCTATATCACGCAATATTACAGGGAAATCTATACTGGAGAAATCTAGTATATTGTCAAACCTTTATAATCTACTGATATCATGAAGATTTCTTGCTTTGCGCTCTTCTTTTCTGGCTTCTTCACTAGCTAAGGAGGCCTTCATGCAGGCTTTGAAACATCTTTCATCCATATTTTGTGGATTGATTATTCCTAACTGAGGTTTAGCCCAAATTTTTGGTAATGCAAAATGTGATCTATCTTAGAGTGGCTGGTACGCACTTATTTCAAAAAATATTTTTTTTCCATATTCATAAATCTAACCCAAATGTTGATTACGTTCCATTTTATCGATTTTATCTAAGATTTCATAGTATTGTCATGAGACTGTTTGGTCTATTCTATCCTGGTGAATAATATCCAAGATTTCACTTGAAAATGCTATGTCTTGATCAGTTCTATGTCCGAAATATCCTGTTTGTATAATCTGATACATATGAGCGATAATGACTATTTTTACTTTAATGCCACCTAAATGTGTTAATTTCCTTCTATAAATATCACTAATTTGATCTTCAATATCCTCGAACGTGGCTAAGGATCTTCTTGATATAGATAAGTTTCTGGAATAATAGCGAGATAATTGACACATAAACCTTGATCAGAAATTCTTCTAGTTTCTACTAACCTTTTTGGAGTTGGATCTTCTATTCTTCAAAATATTATTTTGTCTTCTTCAGGTTCGGACTCGTTATCAGATTTAAATTCAGAATCTGATGTATCTCCCTCATCAGCGGTCTCATAGTCGCTGTCCCCATTTGAATCTACCTCTTTTTCAGGAGGCTCAGGTAACTCAGGTGGTATCGGGTCTCCCCAAAAGTTTCTAAATAATCATCTTAATGCACTGGTGATACTACCTAGTATTCCGCTCATTTTTTCTCAAAGAGTATATATGGTTACAAAAAGTTTAAAATGAAAATTAATTTATTCAGATAATTAGAGTTACATATTTATTCAAAAAGAAAAGACTATTGGAATGGGATTTTATAAATGTCCATATATTCTTAGGACTGGAGAAGTATGCAATGGGGGTGCGATCAGTCAGAAGAGTATAAAGTCCATTGGAAATCTCCTAGACGAATTCCATATATAAAATGCAAAAAATTGACTTCTTCTATTTATAGTACTTATAGGAAACATACAGGTAAATATCGCATTCGAGATTTTTATCAGCGTCAAAAGCTTGTGAAAATTTAGGCTAGTAACGGCTAGTGACAGGAATACAATATATATGATCATTTATATCACTTGATTTTTTTCATGTTTTGGATATATCTCCGCTTTGCTTTGCAACTATGCGATCATATCTTATATATGCTTCGCTTCACTCCGCAGAATGTGAACACTATTTGTTTTTATATCTTATGTACATACTCCGCACCTTCAGTGCTCCACAGAATGTGAACACTATTTGTTTTCATATCTTATATACATGTCCCACACCTTTGGTGCTCTGCAGAGTGTGAACACTATTTGCCCACTTATTGGCACTTATATTTGCCTCATATAATAGCATACATTAAATAAGATAGCATATAGGTCAGGAATAATAGCATTCATATTCGCTTCGCTCTAAAGGGCTTTGCTCATATTCCTGCTATTATCCCTCCCATTAAATGTGTATTTATAGGCGTCACCTTAAAGGGCTTTATCTACTCATACTTATTCTCCTATATTGAACGTGCATTCGTCGTCGCTCTGCTCCTCCATATGCTTGTTCTCTCTTGCTATCTAAGCAGTATGCTAATGGAAGGCAATTTGATTAAAATATATGCGAAAAACTTATGTTATTCAGGATGAGAACTAAAAAGGTTTCAGACTTGATTGTGCCAAAATGGGTATTTATTTTTACATATAGGAAGCAAATGTTTACAGAGCGAATACCAATCAAGAAAGCAAATTGATTACCTTAAGATCACATGTATAATAATAATGGGTTTACGCTATGTGTTAAATTTTTGATACCCAGAATAACCTTCTGGATACATTTGGGCTTTTTATGCCAAAAAGCCTATTATCATACTACTCAAGTGTCATCAATTAATAGTATATTTATTTATTACATATTATAATAATTTTTTGATTAACTAGCAAATATCACCAATAGACAATTAATAGCAGTTTAATTAAGTAATAATAAAAGCAATTCAAAAGTTTATAGTTAAGATAGCAAAAAAGTCTATTATTAATAAAAAGAATAACCTAATTTGCTAAAAAAAAAAGAGCTAAAAAAGCTATAATTCTAAATTTTCAGGTAAATTCTAAATCATTTAAGTATTACAGATCAAATAATATTAAATCAAGACTCATTTAAATCATTATAGGTTATCTTATAATAACCTAAATGAGCCTATTTTTTTTTTATTTAATAGTAATACGATACTCAATTACAAATACAATCTTGGCTTAATTTATATTTATTATAGTTATCAATCAGTTATCTTCAATCAAATAGCAATAAGTTACCTTATTATTATCTAGTATTTTCTTTATATTTACATATTTTTAGTATGTCAATTGATATTATTATAATAATTATTTTTTTTCTTATGTGTTTTTGGTATTGATATTATTTTAATAATTTGTATCAATATATTATAATTTATATATTAACTGATTGAAAATATAGCAATAATTCATTTATTTTAATTGATATCATATTATTATATTTTATATTAATTAGGTACTACCTGATAATGACATATAAATTAAATTTTAATGTAAGATTTAACTGATTTATTAATAATATATAATTATTTAAATTGTTTTATATATCATATTATTAAATTTCATAAATATAACTGTTAATAATACCCATTATAATTAATTGATACAAATATAAGCTAGTATTAGCCAAAGAATAAAAAAGAAAATAAATAATTCTATAGAATATATCAGGTTATATAAAAAAAAATATAAATACATTATAAAAACAGATATAATTAAGATTTTTGCTAATACCATGCTTATTTACATACTTATTTGTCTCACTTATTTTAATTTTCTTCATCAGTTAACACATCTTCAAGTTCACATGGTTTAAAATTTTGTTTTTGTTTTTGAATATTAGTAAGAAATTCATCCAATTTATATTCATCTTTATTGCTATTATCATATTTTGAAGTAGCATTCTTGATAATAGCTTTTATTAATTTATGATACCCTGATTTAGTTCATCATGATATATTTGAGAAAGCATTTGTTTTAAAAAGATAGTCTCAATGAATACGTATGTCCTTCTATCTAGTTTTGCTGATAGAATATAGCATCTAAATAGTTTCTTAAAAATATGCATAACTTAAAATATAAAATGAATCAGTATTATATAATTTGAAAAAATATTTTAACTTATACTTATAGTATTACTTTTCTAACTCAAATCTTATACTATAATATAATTCTCTATTAATTCTTCTGATTTTGATTTTTCTGATTCCTCTAGGCTATAGTAAGCATTCTTCTTGAATCAAGTTCAGATTATTAAAACTTTGAAATAATCAGATTTTCAATTTTTCGTAAATGCTAATTATATTAGATTTTTTATTCATTTCTATTAAAATAGATATGAATATTTAGTTAGATATATAATTAGTGAGCTGATTAATATAATAAGTATATTATCTCATTTTTTTTGAAGTTTATATATAAACATTTAGCTTCTTTTATCTATTTTGCTTTATTCTTCATTTTTTTTAGCATCTCTTTCTTTTAATATTGGAGTCATTAGTAGATCATTTTGTAAAGAATATTCTTATTAATTAAATATATTTTGAGATTTAATACCTTTAGTAAAGCCAGTATTATTGAAGTTATTACTGATTTCTTTTAAGACATAAAGGTTTCATTAATGTTTAACTGAATATTTTCTGGAATTCGTTAAATATTTTAAAAAAAATTCTGCTAAATAATTTAAATAATTATTAATATTAATTGGTAAATCTGTAAATAAAAAATAAAACAAAATGAAATAATTTATTTACATGCAAATTATCACATAGATCTTTTAATAAATTTATTGAATAAAGATATTTCATCTCCTGAATATATTTGAGTTATCATTTTTTAATTTATTATGTTCTTTAAAACTTAAATATGATGTCAATCATTGTCTTTTTCATTTATTTTGCAACTTCTTGTTCTTATTCTTTTTATCAAATTTTTTTGTTTCATAATATAGATTATTTTAAAACTTAGATAAACTCAATATATCATATTCTTTAAATATCCTGTAGGTGACTGACTTTTTACTAATTAGCTTACTTGTCATAAACAGTTTACTTATTTTTATTTTATCAAATATTTAATAGTTGATATTTAATGAAATTAAATTCTCTTAGTTTATTTGCTTTTGTTTTCCTTTTACAGTCTGTTTTAAGTATTTTTATTAAATATTTAAGTTGCTCTTATTCAACAATAAATTTTTTAAAATAGTAAAAAACAGTATTAATCACATTTTTAAGTGGTTGCATTATCATATAACATTATTATATAGGAATAAAACTTATTGATTTTAATGTATGTATTTTTGTGATGCTTTTTTTAACTGCTGCTGTTTATTCTAGATCTGATGTTAAAAGAATTTTTCCATTTTTGTGAATCTAAGAATGATAAAAAGCTTTTTTTTGTACATTTAAACTTTTAGTTCTTTGATATTAAGTGATTTAAGAATAAAAACTAGATTTTCAATCATGGTCAGCTTAGAATTGGCCTTAATTGGAAGTAATATATATATTTTATTTAATATTTATAAATATCTTTATTAAATTTGCTGGAATATATATTGCATATGTTGTCACTATGGAATTCTTCAACTCGAGGTAGTCACGTTATCAAGTCTCTACTCGAAATTTCTTAACTATGGTTTACTGTAGTTAAGACATTAGGATCCGCCTAACTCTTAACTTTACCAAATCTACACGTTGAACTTAAATGAATCTATTAAGTATGAAGACTTGAAAGACGAGATTATGAACAATTTTAATTAAAGAATTTAGATGACGAACTCAATTACAAATAATGTGTAAGAATCACATCAGACTATATAAAGATACGAAGAGGCAGAAAGATATAAATTTTAAATTGATTCCTTTATTAATATTGAAACTCGTATTTACAAAAAAATTTACAAATCTGTAAAAAAGTTAATTTACAACATAAGCAAAAAGTCTATCTATTTATACAAAATTTCTTTTGTCACAGCTAACTAATTAATATGCTATAAATTAACTAATTTAGCAAAATAAACTATAAGTAAAATAAATACATTGAGAATACGTAAAATAATAAAAATATAAAATAAAATAAAAATAATAATAAAATTTAGAATATTAAAAATACGTATAACACCAAATATTCTTAGACTTCATTTAATTTGTAAAATTATGATTATTATCAGTATTTGGAAGATCTTCAGAATTACGTAGATCCTCCGTATTTTCAGAATTCGCAGAATTCCCAGTATTTTCAGAATTCTGGATTAGAAGATCATTATATTGCGTCATTCATGTGACTTCATTATGACTAGTTAATTGCTCCGTTGACAATGTATAGATTATGATATTTTATTAAATTAGAAGTGGTTGTAATGCTTTTTGTTTTAGATGAGAATATTCTTTAATTATATTTGGATCTACTATAAATAAATCTTTATCTAAATTTATTATTTGAACATGTTGCCATTTTGAACATCTGCTGATTGCTGTATATGCTTGACAAGATATAAATAGTTAGCTAAGATCTATTGAAATAGAATATAAGGTAAGACCTTGTGTTTTATGGACTGTTAAAAAAAATGAGTTTTGTAATGAAAACTGTGTTCTAGATGCATGTTGACCCCTGAATAAAGTAGGATATTTCTCTTGTAATCTATCTTTGAATAATTGTATCATGTATACAAAATACTATTTGTACACTTAGTTATTATTTATCTATATTAGTAATTATACCGATTGTTCTATTGCATATACCTTCTTTATTAATGAGTTATTTAGATACATAACTCGTGTACCTTGTTGGAATCTAACTATTGGTAGCATATTTATTTTTATTTTAAATCCTGTTTGAACAAGTTCTGGTAATACTTGTTTACCTTCTATAAAATCTATAGCTTCTGCTAATAAATATTTTTCATTATTAATTGGAAGTAGGTTGCAAATTGTATTGTTGATTTGTCTTGATTAATAAACTATGATATACTTATTGTTAATTTAAAAAAAGTCCTTTGCTGCTTTTATCTTCTTATTTTTTTCTGATTGATAAAGTTTAAATAATTTTAATATAATAAATAAATAAATTTGGATTATAAATTACATATATCATTTAATCAACTATCTGCATGAATATTCTAATAATCATCGCTTAAGTTGCCATTTTTTTTTATTTTCACTTACGATCTTCTAATTTATATAAGCTATATAACCACATATTTATTTGTTTAACTAAGGTTAAATTTGAATATAAGAAATTTTCTTAACTCTAAGATTAATTCATAGTGAATTACAAAATTAATAAAACTATTAAATATTTTATCATAATTTAAATTAAGTTCTAATTTGATTATTTTTAAAATTGCTTTTATTTTAATCTGATTTAAAGAATTCAGTAAAAGAAAATATAAAAATCAATATAAATTAATAAGTTTAATAAAATGTAAAAGCTAATAAAAAATCTGTAAAATTGGTAAAATTAGTAAATTATTATAAATATGCTAGTTAACAAATTTGATAAACCCTTGTACCTTTTTTATCTTTTTTTGATCCTTCTTCCATTAATTTATTATTATTATAAACAACCTCTTTTCTTTTTTATTTTTTTTTTATTTCTACTTTCTTAGTCTTTGAAACTATTTTTATTTAACTTTACTCTCTTTTTAAGTTCTTTAATTTCCTTGCTATATAAATTATTAATATCGATTAATAGGCTAAAATCTTTTTTTATTCTTTGTAATTCTTTAGAAATTTCTTTAGAATGCTTATTAATTTCATCATTTCTTTTTTTTAATCTTCATTTTTAGTGTATAGTTACGTATAATTCTCAATTCTCTATAAAAATAACTAAAAATAATTAAATTCAGAATTAGATTGATTAATATTTCATATTTTGAAAAGATTACTATTTAACAAACAAATATTATTAACTTCATTATCAGTGATTTTTACAATATCTATCTTTAATTAAGTTATTAAAAGAGTTTCTTTTTTTAATATACCTTTTAGAAATTGTATATTTTTATAATACTTTCTTATGGATTCAATTTTGTCAAAATCTAATTCAGATAACTGTGATGATTATGAAAACTTAATTATAAATGATAAACTAAAAGCACATATCAGATAATATTTGGATAGTTTTACAAGTGATTATTTAGAAGTTTTTTGTTAAAATATATTGTATTTTTTAATAAAAAGTAGAGAGAATGAGAATGAAATCAAATTTAACAGGCTTTTATAATTTAAAAATTGTCTATTTTATATTTAAAAATTATTAAACTTTTTTAAGCTTTTATTTGTTTGAAGCATAACTAAGAATATCTTCAGTTAGACACATTTTGATATATTGTCTATCTGTTTACAATATCACTGTAAAATCCTTCTACTTGAATTAATCACGTTATCAAGTCTCTACTTAAAGTTGCTAACTGCAGTTTAATATAGCCAAAATGTTAAGATCTACCTAACTTTTAACTTTATCAATTCTATGCTACAAATATAAGAAATAAGCAAATTATAAAAATCATAAACATAATTTTGCTAAATAGATAATATAGATGAATAGTTTATTAGTCAAAATTTGAATCAGTATTGTAAGAATACATTTAGTTAAATATCATTTTAATTCAATTTCTTAAGAAATCATTTTGTAAAAATGATCAGTATAAGATAATCTGAATTACTTCAGCTTCTGTATTTTAATCTAATTCTTTTTTAGCAGTCAATCTAATGCATTGCCTATTTCTGAGAATTGTAATGTAGATTGTTAAATTTGGATTAATGAAAAAGTACTTAACGTGAAATCTTTAAGAGATATTTAAAGAAAAATAAACTAGTTTTAAGTTCTAATTAATGTAGATTGAATTCTAAGAAAAATAAAATGTAGTAAAGGTTTTGCTAATTTCATAGCTGATTAATAGAGAATATTTTTTACAGTTTATATTACTATATTACTTAAATAATACCTTCCAGTTAAAAATAGGAAAATTCTTACACATTTTGTAAGAGTTTGTATAATTGTGATGAGTCAAATTATAGAAGTCTAATTAATGAAAGAAGCTTATCAGAAATTGATTGAAATTGTGAAGTTGATTAAAAAGAATTATGACTGAAACTTTATAACTCTTAATTTTCATCTTTTGATTTACTTGTATAAATGTACAAAAGATTATAAACCTCTTTATATCTTCTGATATTTTTTATTTGAGCATAAAATGGAATATTAGATACTTATTTTAATAGCTATTAAAAAATTGAGTTAGAACTTATATGTTGTATTATGAGTAATAACTAAATAGATAATATTATTAATTTTAAAATAGTTACTAAAAGGGTCTTAATATATTTAGCATAAGAACTTCAGTTAATTCAGTTTTAAAGAGTGATAAATTTATTTCAGACAAAATGAAATGATATTTAATGTATTTGCAAAATATTAAAGAATTTTCAATTTATGGATTTGTCATTTTTGAAAGATATGCTAAGTCCTTCTTCAAAAAATATTATAATGTCAGATGAAATGCTTGATTTAATGGTTGAATATTATAATGTGACTTATGTAAGATATAACTTTAAATTCATTTAAAAATAGACTTAAAGATTTGAATATTATCTAAATAAAGATGAACAAATTCAAAAAGTGTTAAATCAGATCTAAAGTATTCAGCTCTTTAATATCATTTTGCTATGTTAAAAGTTCATTTATTTTGACCTAATTTTTGACAATTAATGATAATATCAATTGTTATTCTGATCAAATTCAATTATTTTAAATTAGGAATGGTAACAGTCAGTCGTGATTGGTCACTGGTTAGTCAACGGTCAGTCAAAAACCTTTGACTGACTAACTAGTTAATTGACTGATTTTAACTGACTGGTTGACTGACTGGTTAATAGTAATAAAATTGAGTTATTTTGGCTTAATAGAAAGTTTTAGTTTAGTTAAATAATATAATTTTGATTTTTGCTTTAACAATACTAACATAGTATTTTTTAAAACTATGTTATTTTTATATAATAATGCAGTATTATAACAGTCTTTAATTTTTTTTTAAAATTT